TTTCTGTCCGTAGTTTCCCTTGGAAATGTTCAGTGAGTCCCTGTGTAACAAAGCAGTACCACCACCTCTTTTACCCTCCCGCGGTCTGTCATATAGTTTGAAACCAGGTGGACAAAGTTGACTTCTAATTGAGTCATCAATTGGCTTTAACCAAGTCTCTGTGACAGCAACAAAATCGAACTTATTGTAGACAACGTAGTCTGTAAAATCGGCGATCTTGTTCCGAAGAGACTGCGTGTTCATTAAGCAAAACTTCAGTGGATGTTTAATATTTTTAGAAATAGGGTCAACGAGTTGTACACTAATTAGGTTAGAACGCAAAGATCCTAAAGTTCCTTCATTGTTAGGGCCAGGGTTGAGTTTGAATACCAAATCGCCATGTAACTCACAATGGAATGCAATTGACTGGCAGTGGAACGTAGCTGTTGAGTTTGAATAATACAGGCACGGGCGTCGGCATCGCTTGATCTTAATTTTGCAATGTGGTCTAAGGCACACAGTGTTGTCCAACAATACCCACAACAATAGGGCGCCATATCTGGAATGTGATCCATTGTTTGACAAAAGAAAACAAAAATCTCCGCCGAAAGAGCTCAACAGTGATGAAATAGAAGATAGCGCATTTTCCAACAAGAGAGCAGTGTTTCTACTAGTTTGATGAGCCAAGTCCGTAGTCCAAGTGTTTAGACATAACCCTGAAGCGTTTTGAAGGTCATAGATAGGGCAAAGTAGAAGAAAAAAAGCACAAACCACGGAGCGAAAATTACGACAGCCAATCCTGATTAGCATAATTTGCATATAAAGAAGGAAAGGTGACTTATCATGCTCTCTGGCTGACTTTGGGTGCCATACACAACGTTCATACTTCGAAACTTCGCACACCAAGGGTGAGCAAGATGCAGCAGGTTCACACATAAAGCTAAAGGTCAGCCAGGCAGTGTTAAGAGGAACAGCTAGAATAACCAGTGCCAAAAGCATGCATGATTTTCTTTTGGAAAAATTTTCTCTTCCAGCAGCAAGCAGCTTTCGCTCTAGAACAAAAGAAGTTGAGCTGAAACGTCGAGTGTTTTTCTTTGTCCCAATCACAGGGGATGGTTCAGTAGTAAGGAACAGACCTGACAGGCACTTCAAACCAGTAAAAGGAATTCGTCAGTGGCACTGTGTGAAGTCTTTGGCACAGCAAGAGAAGCTGAAAGTCAGGAAGAGGTCCTGCTATTGTGCAAACTGCATCTTGGAGGACGAGGATCACTGCCAAAATCAAGAGTGGATGGACGATTGGAAGGATGTGGACAACACCAGAGAGGGTTCAGTAGCAACCACAAGACAAGCTTCTGAATAATCTGCATTAAACCATGACACTACACTACATATCGCAGATCTGGCTGCTAAAGGAAGTACTGTAGCAATCGCTGCATGTGAAGATCCTGTATATGACTTCTATTTGCTAGAAGTGACTTCTGAGGGTGTTGTAGAGCTGGAGGACTCTCTGATAGATGATTATTCTAGTCACTATCCAAGAGGCAGTGCTTTATTAAAGGGTCACTTCTATCTAAGAGAAAACCTACACGATATGACTTACACTCTGGACACCAAGCATCTGGCTGTTGTGTATGCAGGCACAGTACGACACACATGTAGTGAGGTGGCAGTTAAGAAGAAGACAAAAAGGAAGACAATTTACAAACTTTCTCTAACTCAGCATGAAGAAATTATGGCTTCTTTCTAAATCTTGTATAAATAAGTTCAAAAATTGATTAAAAAATGAAAAAATCAATGTGTTGCCACGCCCGCAAAGGATTATGAGTAAACTTAATATCCTTATTAAGGCTTTACAAATTACAATACATAACTTATGTCTATCAATATTATGTAAGGAGGTCAAAACACAATAGAATGTATAAAGAAAACAAAATTCCTGACAACTTTGTTTTAAGGCCATTTGTTACACTAAGTGGAGGGGTGATTGTGCTACTCATCAAGGATATTTCGGGCCAACCTGAATGCAGAACTCAAAGAAAGAAACTCCACAAACCAAGATGATGACTACAATCACATCCAGTCTAACATGACTTTGCTTGGGACTTCAGATGAAAGGAAAGCTCTGAAAGATGAGCAAAACAATGCATACCAACTTAGCCTAGAGGCTGACCAGGAGAAAGACAGATGCAGAATACAGAATTTGAAGCAAGAGATCTTTGAAGTGCAAAGACTTGAAAACTTACGGCTGACCAGAGAAAAGAGAGTCCCAGCAGAATTACAGACTGACAGTGTACGAATCACCGTTCAGCATACTTCAGATGGTAGGATTTGTCGTTTCTTCGGAAAAGAAGAAACAATGTCTGCAGTGTTTGACTGGATTGGCTCATTGAACATACGTCCTGAAGTCTTTTCACTGTCTGCTTCACAAGTAGATTCCATAAAACACAACAAAGTTAGCATATCTGAAAGTGTTACTGCATACCATGACTGTGTTCTGCGCATGGTTCCAAATGACGAACCAGCATTAGAAGATTCTGAAGTGTATATCAAAGGATTTGGTAGTAGTATTTCCCAGGAAAACAACAATGAAACATTACCACTGGAAGATAATCCATACCCTATTTTACCTGTAGAAGAAAACCTTCCAGTCCAAATTATGGAAGATGATAAGTATGTGTATATATTGTTTGCCAAAACGTTTTAAAAAACATAATTTGCTTTGATAAGTAATTATAGGATCAACAGAATATTACATGGTCGCTTGGAGATACTAATTTTATCTTCTTGTGTTGAAAACCTCTCACTCGTTTGCTAAGCTCACTAGAGAGAAATCTTTTCAACACTCAAAGGTAAAACCAGTATCTCCGCACGCCCATGTAATATCCTCTATGTAACAAAGTTTTTAATATGTTAAATTATGTTAATTTTACAGAAGTGATGAAAAGATTGATATTCCATGTGCGATGCCTCCAAAAAAA